GTGTTAAGTTGAATTGTACAACGCGTACTGTAATAATTCCTTTTCTTCAGCAAATCTCGCAATTTTTTCTTGGCAATACTAAATAGCATCTCTAAAGAGTTCGTCGAAAAGTATGACTTTTATATCGATCGCGATTGAAACAGAATTAATGATCTCTAACAATTTTTGAGAGCATGTGGCTGACGTGCCATTTCGTCGAAACTCAATTCTTTCCACTTAATCGCGAGAACTCTTTCTGAAAATGGATCGACAACCCTGGTAACTCTTTGTGAAAGAGCCGGCAGAATGCTCTTGTCCGAAGAATAACTCTATCAGTTATATCGCAATTCTGAAAGCGGGGGAAATGCTAACTTCGTAAAGGTGCCGACATTAAGCAGAAGTAACTGCCGCAGAGCCGCCGGTAGTTGCCCCCATTCGGCATTGAACGGCACGTTCTGCAGTTTCAATTCCGGATAGTACGGTGTAATGTTCGTGATATCTGCACGGTGTGTCGCCGCCGCCGTGAGCGAAGTATGCATAATAAAGAAAAGGTGTAACTCGATGCCGCGCGGAGCGTCTTGGGGAAAGAGTAGCTATTGCTGTTGACCCGCTTCTGACGGCGGCGGTGGCGGCGCGGCGGCTAAATAGCTCGATACTACTACTGCGAAACTGCGCGACTGCTCGCAATAAAAAAACGTAAAGGTGTTTACGTTTCTTGCCGTGTACCTCGTTCCGATCCTACGACAATTTCACACGCGTTTCTCGGAAATACGCTCCTCGGATGAAGCTATATTTCTTAATCTCGATCACGTTCGCGCGCAAAATATATACTTATATTTTGAGTCATTCAAAAAGTTCTGCGATTTTTACTCACGGGAACCGCGGTTCAAATACAGTCAAGTACGATACTTTTTGCAATTTATCATTTCTCTGTTCTTGTACTGTATAACTACAGAGATGTAAATAGAAAAAAAAACCAAATCGTTTTTTTTTCATAAAATACGTTTTTTTTTTTAGAAAAAAATATAAGCTTCGTTTTTTTCTCAAAATTTTATTTTTTTTCACCTATCTATTTAATATCTATTTAATATCTATATTTTGCTTAATATAAGTTAATTTTTCATGATTTTTTATTTTATAGATAGTAGATTTAAATTATTATCATTTTAACCTATACGCAGAACAAGAAAGCCAATATTGATTCTGAAACATATTTTCAAGCAAGGACTTCAATGAATAATTATAATAAATTCTACTTAAGGAAAAGCTGTATAGAAAAAGAATTAAAACGATTCTCCTTTTGTAAAAGTTAGATAACATTAAAATTAATTATATAATTATCTAATTACTATTTACAATTAATTAGTCGTGCTATCGAAATTAGAAAAAAAATTGAATTTGTATTTTTTCAATGAAATAAAACACGTTTTTTTCTAATGTTTTTTTCTATTAGAAAAAAAAAACGTTTTTTTTTACATCTCTATGTATAACGAGGCGATGCTTGCTCCAGTAGATCACTATCCACAATGCACGGACGCCCAGATCGCGCCTCGTCTTTGAAAGTAAAATCATCCTGTTAAAATTTCACAAACCTCCGTACTGTATCATCAGAAACAGTACTCTGTCCGTATATTGTTTGTTTTATTTCATTAGATATGGACGTGATTTTAATATTTTACCCAAATTATACAAATATTTGTGATTTTGGGTGAGCCCCAGTGAGGCACTCCAAACTTTCGGCACTTTATTTTAAAGAACCACCTTAAACAAAAGACTGCTCTTTCTCGTCGAATTGAAGTTTGGGCTTCCTCATTCACTATATTAGCGTAAAATATAAACTGGTATCCGCGCAGATGTGAGAAAATCGCAGAACTTTCCGGATGACCCAATACTTTCGACTCGAGTCGAATCTGTTGCGTTTAAAAACTGAAATTCTCTCGCTGATCGCTCAAACGAGAATCTCGCGCTAGGGAAAACATCGATGACGATATACCGTGCCATAAAAATTAACAATACGCTATTTTCCTCGCTAATATAACTGGATATCGGGGCGGGATAATTATACTCCCCGTTGGGTCGCAAATTCAACACCGGAACAGAAAGAGAGCTAATCGACTGCGCAAAGAAATGAATAAAAATATCGCGGCGCGTGACATACATTGCACATCGTACAGAAGAAGGGCATGAAGACGCTATGTTTTAACGCCATGCTGCACAATAATCCAGCCGAGCGTGTGGATATACGTGCACGACGATGTCGCACCTTCTGAACCGCGCCGCTCGTATATATACACGTATATACGTTACGGCATTATAGGCAACGCGGGGATTGTCCCGAAAGGGGTTGCCATAATTTACAGAGGGCGCGCAAACACTCATTTAAACTCCAACGTCGCTTCAGCCCCCATTATCTCGGGGTTAAAGGTGGACCCTCAAAGAGGGCTAGACGCTGCGCGCGGCGGCGAAACGGCGGCGGATACGAACAGTCGTTGGAACGGAGATAGAGCGGAGATCTCCCGCGTCGCTATACTACTGACTGTTCGGGGGGCCGCAACGGGAGAATCTAACAGCGAACTATAATGGGGTTTCGGCTTATCTCGCAGCCCTGAAAGTTTTCACCGTGTGCAGTGCGGCGGGGCACGAGAGGAGGAGGAGGCGGAGGGAGAGGGGGGACGCGGGAGGAGGGTTGAAAACGGGGCGAAAGCGAGTCGCGCCGAGGGACGGGGAGATCGTCCGATGCGTGAGACCACATTAATTACCGCCACGTCCCGAAGACCAACCGTTCCCGACGTAACCGTCTCTGCCAGCTCGCGATTATGTCCAGATTGTACGCCGACTCTCTCTCCCGTTTCCCCGTATCGCGACGCGTATCACCCGTTCTTCGTCTCTCCCTCTCCGTCCCCCCTCCCTCCCTCTCTCGCGTTTTCTCACAGTCTACCCCCTATCTTCTCAGCTCGTGCTCGGATGTCGGAAATTTCGAACACCGCGCCGCCGCGGGTACAACTTTCGCCGTGATTAAGGAAGATCGCTTCTGCCTGACGGCAGATTCTATACGCAACCGGGTATAGTCTGATTAATAATTCGTATGGCGTGTGGTTAACGAGGGGGAAAAGGGCGCTCCGCGCCGAGGTCTCCTCTCGCGCGCCCGGCTGCTTCGCTTTACCCGGGAGTATAGTTGCCCGAACATCGGGTAACTGTCTTCCGTTACACACACGGGGGAAGAACAAAACCGATCGCCGATGTCGGTGCCGTCGGAAACTTCGTACACGTTTACGACTAACTTTGCCGCAATTAACGGAGCGAACGGAGTGAAATGGCGTGCAATTTCGGACGCTCTCCCCCGCGGTCGCACATAACGCGCGCGTCGGAGTGTGCAAGTTACAGTTGTCTCGGTCGAGTGACGCCGCGACCGGATATTTAAATCCGATGAGTCGCACGTGATCGCGGAAGACGCGCGTCTCGCGCATAGCGGAACGTTGTTGAGCGAAAACAATTGCGAGAGGCGAGGGAGATGCGGAATGCGAAATTCCTCGGCATCCCCTACACGCGCGAGTACACATGCCGCGTCCCGCGAGATCGTTCGATTCACGATCCACATCCGCATATCCGTACGTCCGTGCAAGTCTGAGACACGTACACGCGAGATCCCTATCCCGCTTCGAGACGCTCCGTATACTTTCGTTCGAGAAACGGCGCGGTTGCAGTTTTCTCGCTGCTGGTGGGCTCTCGGCGAACGGGAGAGCGAACCGGGCGAGCCGGGCGAGCCCGAGGGAGGAGGGAAATGCGGAAAAACAGTCACGTTTATCATGGGAGCTCGGCAGGCGGAATATAAGAGCGGATGCCGCGGGAGGTATAAGCGCAAGAGAATGGCCTACGCATAAGAATAAAGTGCTGTAATGTACAATGTCTCTCGCTCCCCTCTCCCGCTATAGAGCTGGAATGCTAAATGTCCCCGGCTGCGCGGGAGCACTCGGCAGCACAATGATTTCATTACGTTTAAAGTTTGTACGAAATATATAAAGCCAGGAGTGGCATATCCTTTATATACCCGTCGTCAGTGACCCATCAGTTATTAATACGGCCGTAATAATTAATGGATAATAATTAATCAGCTGCAAGATGCAATAAAGTATCATGCAAATTGTGATCTGTGCGTGACGGGGCGATCATCGCATTTCACCTCTCTCTCTCTCTCTCTCTCTCTCTCTCTCTCTCTCTTCCCATGTTACTTGGGAAATTTACGTCTGAAAGTACTCACTTTACGAGCGAAGTAAATTTTAGAAAATTGTACAATGAGAAAGTATAGTCGTACTTGAACGTCTCACAAATAATTTAAAACAATAACGTGCACAAATAGAAAAGATGGTCAAGTGCAATGTAAATGTTTGCGATGCACACACATACAGGCACGTAAAAAAAAAAAAAGAAACTGGCTACCCAGTGATTGTGACACTCCAGAGTGGATTTACGATGCTCGAGAAAATAAACCGTTTTATATCGAGCTTATTTTATATATATATATATTGCGTCAAAAAATGAAATTGACACGAAAATAACGGGGGGGGAAGGGGAAGGAAAGGGTAATCAAATTACCATGTAGAAATATCGCGGAAATAATTTATCTGTTGCATAAAAATCGAATTAGTAAAATGAAGCATAGCTCTCTCGTGAATTAAATGTTCATCGCGGCTAAAGCGGTTCTCTTGTTAAATAATGGACATAAAGCAGAAAATAATGTAAATATGAGAGAGAAAGAGAGAGAGAGAGAGAAGAGAGGGAGAGAGAAAGCGCTGTGAGATTCTCTCGCCGGGAAAGGGCGTAGTACGCCCAGGAAAGTGCCGAGGCCCCGGCCGACTCGTCCGTCTTTTTCCACTGCGAGAGGCGACGCAGTAGAAATCGACGAGTTTGCGCGACACGGGCGCTACTCGCAGCGCGCAGAGGCAGAAGCGGGCCACGCGCGGTACATGCGCAATGGTGTATTGATCCTGCGAATTTCAGATGCACGTACCAGCATCCCAGTGGTCCAGCGGCTGTACACAATGTCATTTCTGCCGGACGTTCTTCCGGCGTTTCGCGAGCGGAACGACGATCCGCGCGAGTAATGAGAGAGCCCCGCGCCCGACGAGGTGTCGCCGACTGATATAAGTAAGCGCGCGCCCGGAGATCGAACGTATTTCCAGATTCACACGGCGGATTATGATACGCAAGGAGGGCACGGGGATAAAAGCGCCGTATTTAAGGGAAACGAGTAACCGGGGCGTCCGAGGTGGCCGAAGCGCAAGTACATCCACGACCGTTTAGATTACGTTCCGATACGCGTATACATGCCCTCAGAAATAGTTCCTCGGTGAACGAAATCACGGTAAGCGCTGTGAAAACATAGACCCAGTATAAGTTTTCGAAATAATAATTTTTGGTTCAGAATATATTTTCCTATATACGGATAATTGTAGCGTTAAGAGCGACGATTCGGCACATGGAGCGGATCATTTGCATTTATACGTAGCGAGAAGTAATGCGTGCTAAATTTATATTTGAGGTGTCACTATAGAAAAATTGTAACCTTTGAATCTTACACGTTTGCGAATGTATAATATCTGAAACTTTTTGCAATGTAATAAATATATATTAATACTTTATTTGACGAAGTATTTGAAGAAGGTTTGAGATACGCCAAAGTACTTGTCGTAAAAATTAATACGGACAGACGGCTGTGCTTAATGCAACAGGTTCATAATTCTATAACTAACAACTCGCAAAGCTCAGTTAAGCTATTGACGTAAGCGTTGTAACTACTAATTAAATTAAATCGTAGCTTCTTCAGCCGAGACAACTGAAAAAAAGTATGAGCGACAGTTAAAAATAAAAAAATAATTACAAATGTAGAATAATCCCAACAATGAACATTTTCATTTAATATTCTGCTTACTTTCTGCCATAACGAAATTGTCTTACGTTTATAAAGTATAATCAGTTTATAAAATATAATCTTGCAAATATATGCGGAAAGAGGAAAAATAGCTAAAAAATAGGAGAAAGAAAAATTTATACTGTTATAATATAATAAATATTTTTATGTATAATATATACATAATTTTTTTTAATATTAAATCTGATAATTTTCAAGATAATAAAGTTGTTGGATATTTCATAAAACTACGGATGAAATAAATCGAGTGACCGCATGTCGGTTTATTAATCTTTCAGGATACTTTTGACGAGTCTTGTTTAATCGCACGTTTGAACGCAACGCAAAATGATGTACTCCTTAATCATCCTGATCCTTTCGGTGGGGATCTGCTACAGTAATCCAGACGCTAAGAGACTTTACGACGATCTGCTCTCGAATTATAATCGGCTGATTCGACCTGTGTTCAACAATACTGACACCGTTGTTGTGAAACTAGGGCTTCGTCTCTCGCAGCTGATAGATCTCGTACGTAGCGTGTACATTATTTTATGCAATATAATCGTGCTAATAAGATAAAAAATTATCAAAAAATTGCATTAAAATAAGTTTATATGATATGTAACGTATTACAACTGGCGCGCAGAGCTGTTTTAATAATATCACCTTTAATAAAATCTGTTCGTCGTTTGCAGAATTTAAAAGATCAAATCCTAACGACGAACGTCTGGTTGGAGCACGTAAGTGTTGAGCTACATGAAAAAAAATTCGAGCAACTTTTGATTGCCATCGAGACTGCGAGTTGAAAGATTAACATGTGACCGAAGCCGAATTCATAATTTCAGGAATGGCAGGATCATAAATTCATATGGGAGCCCTCGGAATACGGAGGTGTCACTGAACTCTACGTGCCGAGCGAGCATATATGGCTGCCCGACATTGTACTTTATAACAAGTACGTGATGCCGTACGCTCTCTCTTTTCACTATCTCTTTACCTCTTTTACGATTATTGCGATCGGAAAATATAAGCACGTCGCGCAAGTGATGTACTGCAAATTGTTGCAATTCCAGTCCTTTTATTGATGACTTCATCCGAGTATCGTGAATTATATAATGCGTATTAAAAATTTGTCAGCGCATTTGAAGTAACGAGCCTTACTTTCAGCGCGGACGGAGAGTACGGTGTGACAACAATGACTAAGGCCGTTTTGCATCACACCGGCAGGGTGCTTTGGACCCCTCCGGCAATTTTTAAATCTTCCTGCGAAATTGACGTTAGATACTTCCCCTTCGATCAGCAAACATGCTTCATGAAATTCGGCTCGTGGACATACGACGGCTTTCAAGTGAGTATAGATTTATTGTTTTGACGCAGCAGGATGATTATAAAATTATTAATTAAAAAAATCAATTATTGATTAACTTTCGTTGTACACAAGGCGTCAAAAATGCCTACCTGAAATTGCAGGGGCACATATATACTTATATATATATATATATA